GCATACATTAATTATCTTGCAGAAAATGCATAAGTACTTATGGACAACGACGTTCAAGTAACAGAAAAAAGAAAAAGAAAAAAAAAAACAAAGAACAAACGTCTTCATGTTTGAGGCAGAATTCTGTCTTCTACTTAAAAAGAATTCACATGTAAAAGTCCTAACCCCCGGTGTCTCAGAATGTAACTGTATTTGGAGATAGCGTCTTTACAGAGCTGATTAAGTTAAAATAAAGTCATTAGTTGAAATAAGCCATATGACTGGCCCTAATCCAATAAGAAGAGGGAATCTGGACACAGAGACATACCTAGGGAAGACATATGAAGACACAGGGAAAAGATAGTCTTCTGCAACACAAGGAACGAAGCCTGCAACATGTCCTTCCTCATAGCTCTCAGAAGAAACCCACCTGTCTGGTATCTTGATCTTGAACTTCTAGCCTACAGAACTGTGAGACAATAAATTTCTGTTGTTTAAACCATCCAATCTGTGCTATTTTGTTACAGCAGACCTAGCAAATGAATACAATAAAAATACCTGAAAATTAGCTGTCCACCTGCCAATCCCTTGCTCCATTTCGAAGACAGGTTTAGGCCCTGCTAATGTTTGTTTGGCCAGAGGAAAGAGAAAAAATAGAAGCCTACATATATCGCTTAAGAAAAATACTAATTAATTGGTCAAATAATTCTCTCATATAGCATGAATGAAAGATTGTTGCATAAAAAGTATTTTTCCCAGTAATTTAAATATTTAACAATCATAAATCAAGTTAAAAGACTGTATAAAAACAAGGGTTTTATCCTTTTGCATTTACATAGTCTCATAATGACAATAATTTAAAACTATGTTTCAGCTATAATTTTAATATAATTGAAAGTAGCCAGAATGTCAGACAAATGAATTTAATTACTCCTGTGTAGATATAGATATTTCGTTGATGAGCTGGCAAAGTTTTAGGTAATAAAATAAAGACACATAATATGTAAATATTATATATGTATTACATCAGATTTATTTTTGTCTTTCAGTGCAACTATTGCTATAATCACGTTTTTTTCCTAGTTTATGTTCTATTTTAATTAATTTTAAAGTGCACGCAATTTGAATGTATCTTCATCACAATATGAAGTGTAATTATTTTCAAAGTCTACATAATTTGACCCTTTTTACCACTATCTATCTACCTCCCTGCTCCCACCTACCCTCTGGTATACACTAGTCTACTGTCCATGTCCATGAGTCTTTGCTTGTTTGTCATGTTTGTTTGTTGTTTTTAGGTTTACATCCCACATATAAGTGATATCATGTGATTTTCAACTTTTACTGTCTGGCTTATTTTGCTTAGCATGATTATCTCGAGGTCCATCAATGTTGTCGCAAATGGCAGTATTTCATCTCTTCTTATAGCTGAGTAATATTCCATTGTATGTATGTACCACAGCTTCTTTATTCAGTCATCTATTATAGGGCACTTTGGTTGCTTCCATGTCCTGGCCACTGTGAATAATGCTGCTATGAACATCGATGTGCAAATATCTTTTGGATATATGTTTTCAAGTCTTTGCGGTAAATAAATACCCAGTTGAGGGATTGCTGGATCATATGGTAGATCAATTCTTAGTTTTTTGAGGGACCTCTATACTGTTTTCCATAGTGGCTATACTAATTTGCAGTCCCACCAGCAGTGTATGAGGGTTCCTTTTTCTCCACATCCTCTCCAACTCTTGTTATTACTTGTCCTGTTGATAACAGCCATTCTAACATGTGTGAGATGGTATCCCATTGTAGTTTTGATTTATATTTCCATAATAGCTAGCAATGTTAATCATCCTTTCATATGTTTGTTGGCCATTTGTATGTCTTCTTTAGAGAAGTGCGTTCAGGTCCTTTGTCCATTTTTTAATTGGCTATTTTTTGTTGTTGTTATTGAGTTGTATGAGTTCTTAGTATTTTTTGGATATTAGGCCTTTATCGGAGGCGTTGCTTGCAAATATATAATCCCATTTGGGTGGTTGTTTCTTTAGATTGTTGACAGTTTCTTATGCTGTGCAGAAACTTTTTAGTTTGATGTAGTCCCGTTCATTTATTTTTGCTTTTACTTCTCTTGCATTTGAGGTCAAATTCATAAAATCATCTTTAAGCCCAAGGTCCATGAGCCTAGTTCCTATGTTTTCTTCTATGTAATTTATTGTTTCAGGTCTTATATTCAGATCCTTAATCCATTTTGAGTTAATTTTGGTGTGTAGTGATAGACAATAGTCTAGTTTCATTCTTTTGCTGGTGGCTTTCTATTTTTCCAGCACCATTTATTGAAGAGACTTTCCTTTCTTCATTGTATGTTTTGGCTACTTTCTTGAAAATTATTTGCCCATATAAACAGGGCTTCACTTCTGGACTCTCAATTCTGTTCCACTGGTCTGTGCATCTGTGTTTCTGCCAAAACCATGCTGTTTTGGTTATTGTCACTTTGTAGTATAATTTGAAGTTGGGCAGAGTGATACCTCCAGCTTTGTTCTTTTTCTCAGGATGGCTTTGGTGATTCGAGGTCTTTTGTGCTTCCATACAAATTTGATGATTTTTTTGTTCTATTTCTTTAAATAGTGCCAATGGGATTGTGATGGGGATTGCATTAAATCTGTATAATGCCTTAGGCAATAAGGTCATTTTAACTTTGTTGATTCTTCCAATTCAAGAACATGGAATATCTTTCCATTCCTTTATGTCTTCTTCAATTTCTTTTAATAGAGTCTTGTAGTTTTCAATATATAGGTCCTTCACCTGTTTTGTTAGGTTTATTCCTAGGTATTTTATTCTTTTTGTTGCAATTGCAAAAGGAATTTTTTTTCCCATTTCCTTTTCTGACAATTCATTATTAGAGTATAAGAAACTTATAGATTTTTGAACATTGATTTTGTATCCTGAAACTTTACTGTATTTGCTTATTATTTCTAGTAATGTTCTTGTGGAGTCTTTAGGGTTTTCTATATAAAGAATCATGTCATCCACAAATAGTGTCAGTCTGGCTTCTTCATTTCCTATTTGGATGCCTTTTATATCTTTCTCTTATCTGATTGCACTCACTAGGACCTCCAAGGTTATGCTGAATAACAGTGCTGATAGTGGACAGCCTTGTCTTGTTCCTGATCTTAGAAGAAAAGTTTTTAGTTTTTTTACCATTAAGTATAATGTTGGCTGAGAGTTTGTCGTATATGGCCTTTATTATGTTAAGGTACTTTCCTTCTACACCTATTTTTTTGAAGTGTTTTGATCACAAATAGATGCTGTATTTTGTTAAAGGCTTTTTCTGCATCTGTTGATATGATCATATGATTCTTATTCTTTATTTTGTTTATGTGGTATATCACATTTATTGATTTGCATATGTTAAACCATCCCTGCACCCCTGGGATGAAGCCCACTTGATCATGGTGTATAATCTTTTTAATACGTTGTTGTAGTCAGTTCGCTAGTATCTTATTAAGGTTTTTTGCATCTGTGTTCATGAGAGATATTGGTCTGTAGTTTTCTTTTTTAAATAAACATATTTTAGCCTGTGTGTTTGTGGTACATGGGCCATATTTTTCTGTTCGTTATATGTGAGGCCCTCTAAAGAGTGAGGAACAGGGTAGGGACCCACCACTCTTGCCCATGTCTGACAGTATTTTGTAGGTTGAATAGTGACCTCCCCCAAAATTCATGTCCACCCAGAACCTCAAAATAGACATTGTTTGGTTGTAGGGTATTTGCAGATATAATTAGTTAAGGATCCTGAAAAGAAATCATCCTAGATTTAGAGTGGGCTCTAAATTTGTGATTGGTGTCCTTTTAAGAGTAGAGAACACAATACACATACACAGGAAGAAGGGATACTTAGGCTACTAGAACCTTGAAGAGGCAAGAAGGGATTCTCCCCTAGAATCTTCAGAAGGAGCATGGCCCTACAGACACCTTGATTTCAGACTTTTAGCCTCCAGAACTGTGAGAGAATAAATTTCTGTTGTTTTCAAGCACTAGTTGTGGTACTGTGCTACCATAGTCCTAGGAAAACAGTATAGGGTGGTACTGGTTTTGATGGATCTCCTCTAGACATTGACTCTTGCCTTTCTATAACCAATATGAATAATCTAAGGAATGTTTTCTCTCAACATACTCTAGTAATTTTTATGTCAATATGATGGGTTCCTATTATGGATTCATTCGACTTAATCAAATCCAACTTTTAATAAAAGAAAAAAGGAAAAGGAAAATAATAATTTCAACAGTGTTGGCAAATGATGGTGTTCATCGCTCAATCAGCATGTATCCCATTCAGAATGAACTTTAGACTTGAAATATGAATCTGTAGCTCTCTATTAGTCTAATTTTCCCATCCTTCTCATAGTATTAGTTTCTTCCTTTCTTTCTCTCTTTCTTGCCTGCCTGCCTGCCATGCATCTAGTCATCCATCATCTATCTATCTATCTATCTATCTATCTATCTATCTATCTATCTATCTATCTGTCTCTAACATCTATCATCTATCTATCTTTCAACAGAACACTCAGCTACACTGTATTTAGTCACTACTATGTAATCCAGAAACAGAATATCATTACTAAGTAGTCCATAAACTGAATATTATGTTCTAGACCCACTCTGTGAACATTCAAACACTCATTTCCAAACTGACTAAAATGGTATAATCCAGAGACCCAGGACATTCTGGACTTTGCCACTGATGTTGGTCAAGTTGATGAACAGTTATTTTCATATTCTCACTGTATTGTGAGAATAAATGAACTAGATAGGTATGGTTTTCAAAAGTTTCTTTCTGTAAACTATTCTTGAGCTATAATGTTTACAGGGAAATATTGTGAGGAAAAAGGAAATACACTCATAAATGGTTGAAAAAGTTGCACCATGTAAAGAAACTTTGTAAAATTGCCTTTTAACATGTAGCCTATATTTTAACTTTCTCTTTTTTCCTTCTTCTTCTTCTTCTTCTTTTTTTTTTTTTTTAGATAGAGGAGAGGGAATGCTCTTTGAAGAAATTTGTATGACAGATGACAGACTGGTGAAGGAGGTAACTGACATGAATTCCAGCTCCTGAGCTCTTCTTTTGCTTCTTCATGGAGGTAAGCACACTTTGAGAAACATAAGTGCCAACAAGATAGAGGAGAAGGGACCTCTTCTTCACATTTGTAGACAGAATCATCAGTATCTTCAGTAGAGACCATTTAAAAAATATATTTTATATGCAAATAGTATGTTATCAATCTCTGAAATGCTGAAATGTAAATAAAATTGAATTTTAACATCATAGAATTTGAAATCCAAACACCCTAAGCTTTAATATGTTCCAAAGCTTACTGGATGCTCGATGTTGGGAAACCTATGAAATATCATGGGATCTCAGTTTCATCATTTATAAAATGGATAAAATAACTGTTGCTCATAGAATGCTCATAATTTCTATAAAGTGACTAGTAAAGGGCCTGATGTACAATAAGCACGGATCAAGTAGAACCTACTATTCTTTACTCTATTTTGTAGAAATTTGTATGTAGATAAACTATATTTATGTATTATATTTTTGTATAAAATACACTATTTTAATTAAAATTTTAAAAATTAGAATTCTAAAAATGAGCACTATTCATCAGTAACAGGTATATTTTTGAAATGTTCCTCTACCTGGAATGATTTCGGTTGGTCGTTGCTGGTGATCGCCGCTTCTGCTTTTGGACAATTTTGTTACATTTAACAATATCTTGGAGACACAAAGGAAAATCTGTCAGTGTTACTCCCTATCACTAGAACTTCCTCTTTTCTCTCTTTCAAATGCCTAAGATGTAAGTCTATGAAAAACATCAAAAAGAGACACTAGTGGGTGCCACTGCAGACTATGACACTCCATACTCTTTTACTTTAAAGCAGTAGATGTGAGTTCATCCACAATAGAGGGCATAATAACATGCTATCTTAGAGTGTCAAAGTAGAGTATTTTTTGCAGTAAGGCCAATTAATATTGTAGGTACTAATCTATTTGGTGTTTATTTTTCATTGAAAATCACCACCACTTGCTATTGTCCCTCCCACGTTGTCCAGGACAGGACAAATTATATAGGCTGCGTTTGGAGCTCAGATAGTTTCATGGTGCTCCCCCTGTAAGGAAAAGCACTGGAGACAACCACAGTGTTTAGAAGGCTTACAGCAAATTATTTTCCACTTAGTAGTCCTTATATTTAGGGTTCAGAAAACCAATTAATACAGTTTACTGGTAAAGAAAAGGAATTAGATTGGATTAGGATACAAATTTAGTGTAATTTTCTCTCTTCTGCTGGTGGCGAGACAGATTGAAAAAAAAAAAAAGCTTAAACTGTAGCTACTGACATACCTACAAGTCACCCACTTATTATATAAATTTTCTGTTTTTTTTTTTTCTGAGTTCTTAATTTAATAATGATTTGGTGAATATTATGAGATGCTTAATACTCTATTGTTTTTAGTCAGAACCCAAATTAGGATCTGTTAATGTTTTTAGGATTTTTGTTTTCTCTTTTAAATTAAGTAGGCCCTATTCTGACAATTGTGTCTGCCAAAGAATTTTAAATGAATTTTTACCTCAATCTCTCCTTTATATTATCATGACTATGTTTCACAAAAAGTAAGAATCACTAAGAATATGAAAAATAAAAGCCAGATCATTTTATCTTTTTTTTTTTTAGAGAACAAGTGACAAAAATAGTCATATTTTTTCACAACACTATTTGAGTGCTGTGAAATGGACTATGACCCATTCTGTATGTGGTGGACCTGAAATTCCAGCAGGTTCATTCCTGACTTCTGTTGCCCCTGAAAACACGTGCAAACAGGTCACAGAGGCAAAGCAGAGAGCAGAAAGCAGGATTAAGAGGACAGCTTTATTACTTGCCATGTCAATACCGTCTCCACTAGTCTAGGTACTCTTTCTCTTTTGTCAGATAATATTTTTTCCTTCAATAATGTGACTTAGCATTTATATAGCTTATACTATGTTATAAAATATTGCAAATTTGCAACTCGTTTCTCTTAAATTATTCACTCATTTCATTTACCCAGAACAACAACAAAAAAATATGCTACAGGGCAACAGGTGCTTAAAATTGCCTTGAGGGGAATATATCCATCAGAATGTCATTATGTTATATGCACTTTATTTATCTATTTATTTATTTATTTATTTATTTATTTATTTATCTTGCCTGGTCCTGAGTAAGCACCTGCAACCTATGGTAATGCTTTTTACAAGCCGTTTCCACATTCTAGGAAGTTTTCATCAAAGCATTGTTTTGTGACTTGACCTCCTTTATATACTTCATATATAGCACACTCTTCAGCTAATATAAAAATAAAGAAATTGAGCTATATAAACTTATTTTCTTGACTCCCTCTCCCACATCTAAACATTTGTTTTAAAATAACATCCTTGTGTCTTGGAGTATCCCCTTCCCTCCTCTTGTCACTTATAACTTTGTGTTTCTCTAGTACCACATTGGCACATCACATATTACACATTTTTCAATGCATCATAATTACAGAAAGACCTGTGCCATATAACTTTATGCATGTTTTCCTTCAGATAAAAATTCAGTGTGCTAACAACTCTGAGAATTTCTCATTTCCTTCATCAAATATAATGTTTTTTTTTTTTTTTGATTTTACACAGAAGGCTGCAGCATAAAGAATGTAAGACTATTCTTAATGAATTATGAAACATTTCTCTATGGTAACTAAAGATCCATATGATTCTTTCCTTTCTTATATAAGTTTTCTTATCTCGCATGTGAACACTTGGAAAAAATGATGCTAAACATATTTAGTATAAGTATGGTCTTTGGCTTTAGTTCTAAGAGCTGACATGAACTACAAAAATTTTTTTTGCAAGAAGCCAATGTAATAAAGAGAATGATGGAGCCAAATATCGTTGAATGCTGGCAATATGGGGCACACCTGTGGGCTGGATGGGTAGATTTTCCTGTGTTTTTCCATTTTATTTTTCAAAGTATATGTACCTGCTTATTCTATTTTATTACTAATTAGGGAATGTTAGTAAGCTAATGTTTGGCAAAGGTGAGTACATGTCCTTCAGTATAGTTTGGCTCTAAACGATTTTCTTATTAGATTCTCAGTGCACAAGGCCATGGAGTAGGCTGCTGAAAAAGTAAAGAAGAAGTGGCCAATAGTCTTAAGAAGCAGTCAAGGAGTATGTCAATCAGGATCTTTTTCAGTGGCTGCTATTAAAAGCCACTGAAATTATCATGAGCAAAAAAAGCTGGGTTATTGGTTCTTATAACCCAAAAGCAGTTTTCCAGTGTATGGAATTGGCCTTAGGGATAATGGAAACATGGAAGCCATCACCTTTGAGAGTTTCTGCTTCTCTGTGTGAGTTGGATTTATTTTTATTGATGCGGATGGATTTTCTCCATGTGTGATAGGAACTCAAGGCTTAGAGTTTTCCAGATCCATAATCTGAGAAGAAAGTAGTTATTTCTCTTCTAGTTCTAGTTAGTAAATTTTCTAGTGCTAGAAGTTTTATAAGCCAGTTACTCACACCTCCTATCTTCCTGAGTTCTAACTGAAAGAGCATATATAATAATAACTTTTAGGACAACTGGGATCAGTGCATAAAGTCAACCAGCCCAAAATAATAGATTGATTGTAGAATAGGTTTACTCCTTCTTCAACTTTAAGTCTTTTTTTATACTTTAAAATTTTTTTTTTCTTAAGTTTATTGAGGTAACATTGGTTAATACAATTATATAATTTTCAGGTGTACATTATAATTTGACATATATATATTCTATTGTGTGATTACTACCCAAACTCCAGTTTCCTTCAGCTACCATATATTTGACCCCCTTTACCCCTTAAAGCTACTTTTTAGGACATGTTTTGTCAGTTTTCTCACCATCCTTTCACTTTCATTTCACTCTAGTTTGTCTATATCCCTCTTAAAATATAATACTCAGAGCATACAGATATGCTCTAACCACTATCAAATAGAGCAAAATTATACACTTCATTGTTCTGAGTATTTTTAAAATAGTAGACCATTTTATAGGTATTCCCATGGAGATAGTCTATTGACTTATATTGAATTCACAGTAAATTACTTATTATAGTTGCTTTGGATCATGGTTATTTGTAAATGTGCCTCCTCCTTCTCCTGATTATAAGTCTTTAGATTTACCCCAAAGCATGTATTACTTATCTCTGTAATCACTTTGCTCTACACAGTGCCTTTTATGTAGCTGGAGCTTAATAAATGTTGCACCTTCAAACTAACATTGCTTGGAGTGGTTTTCTTTAAGTGTATCTCCTTAAAAAGCCACAGCCGAAAATACCATTTTGTCTCTCCATAGTGGCTGTACCAATTTGCAGTCCTACCAGCAGTCTATGAGGGTTCCTTTTTCTCCACATCCTCTCTAATATTTGTTATTACTTGTTCTGTTGATGATAGCTATTCTAACAGGTGTGAGATGGTATTTCATTGTGGTTTTAATTTACATTTCCCTAATAGCTAATGATTCAACTTTTAAGTCTCATAACCACTTTGGCTCTTACAGAATAAACTCAGTCCATATATCTACCAACTTCACAGGGGATTGGAAGTTGTCCTCAGGCATTTCTTAGCTGGCAGAAATGAGGCAAAGGGCAAAACATTTTAGTCAGGCTTATCTCTCTAGAAAGTAGATTCTATGGACCCTAACTTTGCATGGCAGCAAGAAGAAAATGAGACCATTGTGTTTTTTAGAGATTCATAAAACAAGCAACAGGATGAGGCAGAGAGTCTATTACTTGTTTTTAAAAGTCATCATCCCACCACATGGTCCATGGATGTCAAGCTCTAGCCAGTTGTATTAGCCATTCTTCTTAGGGTACAGAGGCTGGTTACAGTGCTCCCTCCAACATTGCTTTCTCATGGGGAGTAGATGTTTTATTCTCCTTTAGAAATCTGAGGAAGTGAGAAACATTTTTCCTTTCCCTTCTACAAGGAAGAACCCTGATTGGTGCATGTCACTTCTCATGCATATACTTTGACCACTCATTGAGATGAGGTGGTGGGAGGAGGAGGTCAGATACTATGATTGAC